AATAAATAAAACCTTTTTTAAAAATTAGAATTATGAAGGAAGATTTTTAAGCAAAAAATTTTTTTCTTGTATTTATACTGTGGTTTATCAAACTTCTTCAGAAACAATCTGTGTTCTCCCTCTCCCTCTGCAGCTCCTCCTGCTCGTGCTCTTGCTCTCTCTCTCTTGCTCTCTCTCAAACGGATGAATAAAATCTTAAAAAAAAAAAAAAAAGCAGCCAACCCAGGTGAGCGTGCAGAACAGTGTTGAGACCGGCATTCGATCCAGCGTCCTCGACAGACACAAGGCAGAGAGCCAAGCGGCTGGCCCCGGAGCCTTGCCCGGCTCCCCAGGTCTGCTCAGGGGAGGCAGCGCACGGGGGGAGAAAGGGTGCCTCATACACGGGAGAGACCACGAACCAGATCGCTCACGCAGGCCGAGATTGGGGCATTGTCTTGCTTTGAAACCCCCCACATTTTATTTTGCTAAAGCTTGCAATTTCTTCTGGGTGAATGGCACTTAAAATCTGTGTGTGATGGAACTGGATTGTATCCAGCTGTCACTCACGCCTCCCGCGCAGCCCAAAAGAGAGCTGGCCATGGGCCACGCAATTCAGGCTCCCACTTCAAATGGGGGGCTGATGCTCCTGTTCCCACCAGACTCTGCCCGAATGATTTCACTTGTGACACAAAGGGGGCTTGGACAGGGACTTGGGCTCAGGGAAGGGCCATGTGGCCAAGAAGTGGTGCATGCATGTCAAATGTCAAGCCAGTGACGTCCATGGAGGGTGGGCTGCCCGCTTGCCCAGAGGAGGCCACAGTCATCAAGGACACTTCCTCAAGTGACTTTTCCAAGGCACTCACCTGACAAGGATTTCCTGGGCCCTGCTGGAGACAGTGACTGCCACTTCCCGCCAACCGGAAGCACCTAACAGCAGCCACGTGAGACAGGATGCAAAGGCACACACGTGAAAGGGGAGGAAAAAGTGGATTCAACCCAGATCGCTTCAAAGACCATAAGAGCAAAAGAGCACATTTTAGTCGTGCCAGCTGTTAGCACGGGCAGATGAAGGTGGATGCATTCATTTAACAACACAGCTGGGAAAAAGTCACTCATTTAAATTATTCCCTATACACCTGAATTCCCTATACACCTGTCAGTTAAATTCTGGCCCAGCAACAGTCAGGGGCCACCTACCTACCTGGGACCTGCCTAAGGGACAGCACTTCTGTGACAGTGAGCCACGAGGGAGTCTGATCCAGACTGACTCCTCTTTGAGTCTTTAAAGCAGGAACAACACACAGCAGCTGATCCTCGAGGAAAGCCAGGAGGAGACTGCGTTCAGAGGAAGCATGCCCAACCTGGGGCCCCAAGCAGAAGCCCATTTCCTGGGCTCCTGAGTGCTTTCCGCTGCCCAGAGGCCCTTTGGGCAGGTGCGGTCTACAGGACTACATACAGGAGCCTGTTAGCCGATAGAGGTGGGAAACCTTTGTGGGGGGTGATTGCCTAGGGTTTCCGGTCCTGAAAGATTGTCCTGGGTCCAGGAGAGCAGAGCAGGAAGCAGGTCCACCGGAGGTCGAGCTGGTCTTTGATTATGGGGGGCCAGGACAAAGTGGTGAGGACTCAAACGGAGAGCCAGGCGGCGGTGGGGACAGGAGGTTGGGGAGAGGAGACTCTTGTTGCTGGCGTGGGGGTGGGGGGTGATGGGAGGGAGGTGTGCAGGGTGGTGGCCACGTTTCTGGCTTTGGCAACGGGGTAGGCAGCAGGCCCCCAGCCATGGTGGGACACACTAAGAGGACGCAAATAAATGTTGAGCCAAGAACTTGCCAGTAGGATACCCAGGAAAAGCAGTTCAGCAGATTACAGTGCTCAAGGCAGTGAGATGTACTGGTCGGAGTTGACGGATATTGATGGAGTTGACCACGAGAAAGGAGCAGAGAGCAAGCTCAGGCTTGGCTGAGGGGGACGGTGGCTGGGGGTGGGGGGCACAGAGACAAGGGGCTTTTTTAGGATGGCAGACACATGAACATGTCAGAGAGAAGGCGCAGACACATCCGCAGAGGGGTAGAAGAGGCTGGCCTCGAGCGCAGGTGGGGTACCAGCCCTGCCGAGGGGGGACATCTTCTGGTGTCTATGGTCTGCAGCAGTCCCCACAAGGTTGAGGGTAAGTGTTCCGTCTATACCTCTGACTGCCTTCCTAGGCTTCCCACCCCTGCTGACCCCTCCATACGAAAACCATTAGATCAGAACCAGCCCCCCAGGAACATGAGAGATGCACACTCTCAGGCCCCAGCCCACCTGCTGAATCAGACTGGGCGGGGGATGGGGCCCAGACGTGGGTGTTGGAACGACCCCCTGGAGATTCTGATGCTCGCTCTCATTTGAGGCACGGGACCAGAATAGCACTTCTCCGCACTGGCTGCCCAGGAGAATCACATGGAAAGGTTTTAAATGCCGATGCCCAAGCCTCTTCCCCAGATTCCAATTTCATTCATATTAGTCCTAAATAACTCGTCCAGCTGATTCTGCCGCTCCACGGAGTGCTGGAAGCATCAGGTTAGGGGGAGAAAGGAGCAGATGGAGACGGAGAGAAGGTGGTTCCTCGTGCTTTGTTTTATTTTGGAGTGGGAGGGGATTCCTGTAGTGGGATTAGAAACCATTTGCCAAGAGTAAGTGGCACACAGGGAGGAGAGTCAACGTGTTTGGAATAACCAGTGAAGCGGCTGGGAGAGGCACCGATCTCAAGGGCAAGCAGAGCTAAAGAAGACAGGCAGCGAGCTGGTCCAGACACAGGTCAGGGAGGAGCAGGATGCAGCGACTGCAGGGGCTTCGAGGAAAGTGCAGCAGGGGCTTCGAGGAAAGTGCAGCAGGGGCTTCGAGGAGAGTGCAGCAGGGGCCCCTTTGAGCACACGGGTGGTTGAAGGGGGGGGCCGGGGTAAAACCACACTGCCGAGCAGCTACCAAGTGCACCCCAGAGCTCGTTCTAGCCATGTCGTCTCCACCAAGGTTGTGCGCACTACCAAGACTCAAGGCAGGGATTAGTGCTCTGGCCCTTCTCTGGGCTGGAGGGCACGCTGGCTGCCACAATGATCCCAGCTGGTTCCGGGGGGCGGGGGGGCAAACACTGGGACGTTTCTGAATCCCAAGACTCCAAGCTTATGGCTCTCCTACATCTCACACCTGTGATTCTCCCTCCGTTCCCGTTCCAGTAACATGCACATTCCTCAGGCCTGGCTGCACGGCTGGGGGTGGGGGGTGGGGGTGCATCTGTCACCCACCTGCGTCTCTGGTACTGATTGGCCCTGCCACTCACCTGCCCACCCAAGCCAGGAGCTGTCTTACCCCACCCCGGACCTTCCACTTGCTACCTCTCCTCTTGATTCCGCCTCCAAATACCCAGGTGACCCCACCTCCCAACTGCTCTGCCGACGTCAGCTCCGGGCCGGAGCAATGGTTGGCTGGTTTGTGGACTGGTCATCCTCACCCGTCTTCTCCCTCCTCCTCGGCCTCCTGGGCCTTCACGCACTGCTGTCAGCCTCCAGAGTTTAAAGCCCAAATCAGACCTTGTCAACTATTGCTAGAAATAATGCAGGAGCTCGCAGGAACTCTCAACGTACAGAGGCCGGCAAATTGTGGTTCACGCTTCAATTATCAACCCAAACATACCCTGTGCTTTGTCAGGGACCCTCAAGTGAGCCCGGCCTGGCTGGTGCCACTGGAGAGCCCTGCCACACCCTCGTCGTGGTTCCCACCCAGAGCACCCAGTCCCGGCCTGGAGACGTAGCCTTGTTCTTCTTTACGTGCACCCAGCACCACGACTGAGTGAAAAAGTTTGGAAAAGTAACCACCAGAAGGCCGTGGTCCTGCCTGCATGACCACTGTGCCCCGGGCCTGAAGGGGGTCCCCAACCTACCACTGCCCAGCCTGGTTCAGATGCTGTGGACACGAGCTTGGCTTGCCACCCCAAACCCTCCCACCCCACCGGGCACTCCATTTGTTTGGGTCCAGGTATGGCCTCACCTCACCTGTTCCTACTTTGCTGTCTGGCCAAGCACCCACGGTGACGGGGCAGAGTCCCCAGGTTTGAGGGGCACGACTGGGTGGGAGCTCAGAGACACTGAAGGGCAGAGGGAAGGAGCAGTGGGACTTGGGGGGCAGGCCTGCCCAGTGGTGCCCGTGGAGTATTCGGAACAGAACCCACCCACTGGAAACCTGCCGCTGCCCAGGGCTGCTTTCGCTTCCGTCTCCCACTCAAGGGTGCTGCTCTGGCCAAAAGGAACCTCCCTGTCACGGGCATCCCTGCAGGGACCTACTGCCCCTGTTGCCCTCACCCAACTTGGAGGACACGTTATCAGCCATCCCCTGACCCGCCCACTCAGCAGATGGCCCGGCCTGACAAGACCGGAACATTCCCCAGGAGCCCAAATTGAGTTCCTGTGTGGGCCCTGAGTTGTAGTCTTGCTCACCACGCCCTCCAACGTGCGGCGGGAGACGCAGCGAGCCGTCTGCTCGGGTCAGCAGGGGCTGAAGGCGGGTGCGAAGCGCGTGGCCACACCTGCTCCCGGTGGTGCACCTCCAAGCTGGGAGGGTCTCACACCGGAGCCTGGGTTGTTCTTGCTGACTGTGAGGAAAACTCATAGTTTAGTAACACCTACCATTTCCCTCTCACTTTCCCTGTGGAAATCCCAGTGTTATTCAGTAAAAAAACTCAAACAGCAAACCTCAGTGGAACAGGGTTTCCAAGTTTCCTCAACACAGTACTCATTGCGAATCACCCACCAAGCTCCGCGGGCCACTTCAAAGGGTCCCTCTGTCTTCTTAAATTCAAATGAATGTATTTATTAATACATTTAAATAAATCTCTTTATTCCTCTTTATCCTTAAGGAAGACCTGCTCCAAACTTTCCCACGTACTGACGGGTTACCCGAAAGTGCACCATGGGGAACCCTTCAGCTGAACTGGGCGCTGGGATGCGAACTCCTAAAAATCAAAGGGAAAAACACAAAGACATAGGCAGGGCTCACAAAAACCTGTTTTATTGCACCAGGATCTTGGCAACATCGGGGGCACCTCAGCCCCTGGAGCGGAGGCACAGTGCACGGGGACGTGGTGGGCTAAGCCCACCGGGAAAAGGCAGGTGAGTGAGGCCACACGGGACCACAGGGAGAGGCGACCCCCCCAACACAAAGTTAAATTAAACCCACGTTCTAAGTCAACCAAGTGACTGCTATTATAAAATCTTTCGTTATTTATATATATTTATATATATTTATATATTTACATGTCCCCTAGAGTTTGGACTGATTTTCTGGGCCCATCCTTTCCCTTCCCAGTTTGGCCGATGGCCGGGTGTGGGAGGGAAGGGGCTCGCCCCTACGGAACAGTGACAATGCTGCCAACAGTCAGGCCAGGGCTCAGCACCGCCCAAGACACGGCGGGCATGTTTTCCTCAGGAAAAGGTTTCATAATTACATAGTGAAAACGGAAGAGCCTGGTTTGAAGAGGAGGGAGCAAGAAAAGAGATGAACTCTGTGCTGCAGACAACAACTTCCCTTTTCAACTGCAGAACGTTACAGAAAAATAGGGCCATACAGGAATGAAGGTCAACACCAAAAGAGGAAAAAAAAAATGCCCTGTCCATAAAGGCACCTGCCTTCCCTCCCGAAGTGGCAGATGACAAAGCCACAGGGCACTAGGGGTTGCTGGGGGGGGAGGGGGAGAGGGGGGACACGACCCTCATCTTTGAACAAGGTGTGGTTAACAGAGAAATCTGTCCTCTGAGAAAAGAGCAAAAGGCTCCCAGACCGGCGGATGCAGCCAGTGCCCTGCTCACCTCCTGCTGGGACCAGAGGCAGCCCCAGTTTGGGCCATGGGCATCATTATTCTCCCTACCTTTTTCAAAGAGAAATGTAAGAACAGGAAGAAAAATCAAAAAGAACTACCTACGTGAAAAAATTAACATATCTCCCCACCCCCACCCTGAAAATGGAACACTTTTTTCTGATTCCCCCCCCCCCAGGCCCCAGAGCAAGCGGCAAGGCTCGGGTGGCAAGGGGTGCCAGACGGGGCCATCGGTGGGCCTCAGGCCACGAAGAGCCACCGTGGAGGACGGACGTCCACATCAGACGTCAGTCCCTCTCTGCGTGTGGCGTTCTGGAGAAGAGGAAGTGGAGACGTACATCCACGGAGTCACTTTCGGATTGACCTCTGTACCTTCTGCTACTGGGTCGTGTGTCTGTTCTCCGGAAAATGTCACCTTAACTGAGGGTTTCCGTATTTATTAAATTACAAGTTCGCAGGCACAGCTTGAGCAAGATAAAAAAGTGATCTTCTTGAGTCATACAATCATTTAAATTCAAAAGCACTCACAAAATAGAGCAAATAAAGCCAGTATTGGGTATCAGGGAAAGGAAATGTATTGCTAACGGAAGCCACAGACCTGGTCAAAATGCGTGTCTCTAATAAGTAGTAAAATAAAAGGATTCTACCCCAAGACCACCACCTCGATACAGACCCGCGGGCCGCTGTAGCTGCAGGGAAGGAATGGCAAGGCCACCTGGGGATCGACAGCCGCTGGAAAGGCAGGGGAGTCAGCACGCCGTCTCACGGCCCCACCCCAAGAGCCGTCTCTCTCCAGAGATGGGCTAGGGCCTCTTGCAAGGGAGGGACACACTGGCAGGGCCGCCCCCCAATTCCAGAAAAGGGAGAGGTGCGGTGCGGGGCGGCCTCGGCTTCCTTTCTGAGGGGGACACGTAAGGCATACAGAGTCCCTGCCCCGCAGAAATGGGGATGGCAGGACCGGACGGCGGTGCTGGCCGCCAGCAGCAGGGGACAGACGGCTCCCGAGACGAGCCCAGCACACTCGGTCACCCTGGGGGCGCTCGCTCACTCGAGGATGTGCCGGGAGGGCTGCGGCCGCCGTTTCCCCTGCTCTCGGCCACAGACCACACGCACCGCTGTCCAGGTTCCCGGCCAGCGCGCTGCCACCTGCTCTCCGCATCACCGTGGGGCTTGTCACGGTGCGTGCGGTGACGCCCGAGGTCCCGTCCTCCTGCAGCTGGCTCACAGCGTGGGCCTGGCAGTGACGGGGCAGCGGGGTCCTCAGCAAGGCCGCTCTTCAGTTCAGACGGACAGGGCCCAGGAAGGGACACCTCGTCTCCCGAGGCTGTGGGGCACAGGACGTTGCTCCTGAAGAGAGGGAGACCCTGGGAGTCCCGCCATCCCTGGAGTGCGCGTCCGCACGGACGACACGCACCATTAGATGGCGCTCTGAAAACACCCGGTCCTGCCCCACACGTTCCACACCACACACGCACACCCCCCCCCACATGCACTAGACGCCCCCACCCCCCCACATTGAAATACAAACCGCACACTAACGCACCCCTACACCTCCCCCACACTAACCCATCTGACAGCAGCAGAGTCAGCGGCGGTAGCTGAGGCTGGTAGCCTTAGCTGGATGAGTCACAGACCAAAAGTTCCGTCTACTCTGAAGTTTCTGGAAGGCGTTGTATGTCCTTTTCTTCTCTCTTTTGAACTTTTTCACTTTCTTTTCCTACATAAAGAAACCCCAGGCATCACAATTCCCGAAAAGGGCTCTCCCCTGGTCCCTGTGGCTCCTCGTGAAGGCTTGTTGGGTGGGGGACACAAGTCTGAATTTGCTACAGAACCAACCAGCTTACTCTTCACGTGGCCTGAGGGAGGTGTCCCCACTGTCCCCACCTTGCTGAAGAAGGAACAAAGCAACCACACATTTACGGTGGGCATCCGAGCCCAGCAGCCTGCCTCCCGTCGTTGTACTTGACCACTTTACAATGTCGCTGCCACTTCAAACTGCCCCAAAGGGTCAAGTCCTCCCTGCCTGGCCCTTGGCGGGGCCACCGTGAGTGCCCTGTCACTCCAGCCTCAAGTGCACCCCATACCTTCCCTCGATCGAACTCTTCATCCCAGTCGTCGATCACCGTGGCGGCGCGGGCCCATCTGCTGTCCCGAATGGCATCCTGACTGACAGCCGACACCTCGCCGCCCCATGTCAACACTACAAAGCAGACACTGAGCGTCGGCACCTTTGTGCACCTGCTTCCAGAATGGTGTTTACGACCCAGACTGGCCTACTCCCGATACATTCAGCATGTTCGAGGGCCACCTTCCGGTGAAATGGACCATGCAGAGAGGGATGAGGGAGGGCAGAGTGGTCTCCAGCGTGCAGGACAGTGGTCCGTCCCTTAAGCGCAAACGTTGTTAGCTCTGTACCACCAGCCCCCCAGTTTAGTTCCTTTCAAACCTGTGCCCTCACCTGAGAGACAAAGGTCTCACGTTCTTTCTCTGAGACTAAGAATGTACAGCCCCGGTGCTGGGTGATTCCCATCCACGCCCTTCCCAAGCCGGCCCACGCCACCCAGAGGCCCAAGATCTGTTCTCCCCGCCTCTGCTCACACCCCCCGGGAGGCAGCATTCTGGATCCTCCCACAGGGACTGGTTCTGGACTTTGTGCAACGGCTGCAGCTCAGGGAGGATCACGGCTGACATTCCTCTACCCGTCCGTAAAGCCCAGTGACTCCCCCGCCCCAGGATCATGACACAGCGGGTCCACTTCAGACCTCTGCGGCCCGATGAGTGAACTGTAGGACAGAAGTCCATGCTCGAAACCAGTACCTTTCCTCCCGTAAGCTTTATCTGACGAATACTTGAGCAGTTCCTGGAGCACGTCGGACTCCCTCTCTCTGCTCCAGGACACAAGAGGAGCCGGGGCCTGCCCTGCAATCAGAGAACCGCTTACATACGTTCACCTCGGACGGGGTACTTGATTACTTCTCGAGAGGGGCTACCGTCCAAATCAACTGCTGGAAAAGACTAAAAACCCACCCCCCAAACAAGACTGAAAACTGCAAGCAGCAGCGTGAGCCCTCGGTCCGATGCAGGACGGGTGAGACGGGGCTCCCGGGGAACCCGCCCCTCCCCCAGGGAGATGGCCAGAAACGAGATCTGGCGGGAACTGGCGGGAACGGCCAACTGCCGCTGCCACCACAGCTTCTGGGGAGGCTGCCTCCCAGCCGCATCCTGGAAGAGCCTGGCCACCGAGGACAGCTGCATGGTGACAGCAGAGACCACCCTCCTCAGGCTTCTAGAAACTTCTGCCTGGCCCCCTCTAACCATCTACAACTGCTGGAACGCGCTCCCCTCCCTCAGCACAAGCCTGCCCTTGCTCTCCAGGCCTCCAATTTATCAATGACGCTGTGACCTTCAAGCCCGGTCCCTGCCGCCCTCTCCAGCCTCTTGCCCTTCGCTCCACAGCATAGCCCGGCCCAGTGGTCAGGCAGGGCCACCCACATCGCTCTCTCCATCTCTTGGCTGTGAATGCCCTTCCCCACAGAGCCAGCTCTTCCGATCATCAGGATGGAGAGCAAACAGAGCAGGGGCTGGGCCACCGCAGCCCTAGCATCTGCACCGGGCAGTGGGTCGGGAGGCCATCTGGTCAGTGTGCCAACAAAGCCAGCCCCGTGGTCTGATGACCACCGCCAGCCTGCTCTGTCACCACCTTTGAGGAGCCTTTCTTCCAACGTACTGGCCGCCCTCCTCATTCCCCAGCGGTAGTGTTTTCTCATGGGTTGTTTTTTTTTTTTAAGACTTGAGAGAGAGAGAGACAGCACAAGCGGGAGGGGCAGAGGGAGAGGGAGAGAGAGAATCCCAAGCAGACTGCGTGCTGAGCCTGGAGCCCAACGTGGGGCTCGATTCCAGGCCCCTGAGATCATGACCTGAGCCGAAACTAAGAGTTGGATGCTTAACCGACTGCACCACCCAGGCTCCCCTTGTCATGGGATTAATGTTGAGTCACAGACTCATTTATCAGAAGTCTGACAAACATAAACCATCCCCAGCAGCCTGTTCACCCCCAAAAGCACAAACATAACTGGATCCCCAGGCTGCAGAGCAGACCTCACAGAATCTGCAGCCATGCTGGATCCCTTCCCAAGCAGGTGTGACCTTCTCTCCCCTTCGCTAATGGACATGCTGTATCAGGACAGCCCAGCCGAGCCTGGCCAGCCCTGAAGGAAACAGAACCAGGAGAAGTCGCTTAGCCATGGGCAACCCAAGCCCTGGGGAACAGCCGAAGCGCTGGGAACCCCAAAGGCAAGCGGCCACATTGTCTTCAGAAAGGCCCAACTTGTGGTGCCTGGGTGGCTCAGCAGGTTAAGCATCTGCCTTCGGCTCAGGTCATGATCCCGGGGTCCTGGGATCGAGCCCCGCATTGGGCTCCCTGCTCAGCGGCGAGTCTGCTTCTCCCTCTCCCTCTGCTGCTGCCCTCTCAAATAAATAAAATCTTAAACAACACAAAAACAGCCTAACTATAAAAACAGGCAGAGAAAGGTTAACTTCTGAACCCGACCTTTCAAGTTCAAGAATCACAAAAAATCTCCAGGCTGAATGGACGTAAGTTTTTAGGGAAAAGTTTAGGCAGGAGGAGCCTTGAATCAGAAGAAACACTGTATTCCGAGAATACGTAAGAGTAGTTTGGGCTAACGGCTTTGCCAGATGGGGAAGCTGCGACCCACAGGGCAGACAGCCTGCCCAAGGGGACAGACTGAGGGCAGAGCTGGGCACAGGTGTGCTCGTGGGTGCCCCCCTCCGGCGCATACACCTACGCGGTCCCCGGGCCCAGCCCCCTGCTCCTCGCGGGCGCATACCTGCTCCGTCCCCGGGACGCCTGCCGTTCACAGGCGGGGAAGGCGGGCTCCCAGGGAGAGCAGAGCCCCTCTGCCTCTCGCCCCTGCAGGCTTCAGGGTGCTCGTTCTCTTCTACTTCCTGCCATGACTCCTGCTGTCTTTTTTTCCTTTTCTTTTTCCTCGGAGATGCCACAGTGGCCTCTAGCTCGACGACATCCAAGGGAGAGCAGCTCCTGGGAAGTCAGAGTCAACAGTCAGCTCCGGGCAAACTGAGGGTGAGAGTGGGGTTCAGGTCGATACCCCGGAACTCAAGCTGGCACGTGCCACAAGCCCACAGAAGAGCCACCCCAAGAACACCCTGCAGACGGGAGCAGGACAAAGCACGCCAGCTTCCGGGGCGACAGTCAAGCCTGAGAGAAAAGCCCACAACTGCACCTAACCCAGGCGAGTCGTCCAGGCCAGATGACGCGGCTGCAGCGCCTGCCGACCCGGGGGCACGTGGCCACCTGCACACTCACTGCCATCCACTCACAAGCCCGTCGAGACACGTAAGGACACGGTCCTGTCCTGGAAGGCTGGCCAGCGCACTGGGGTTCCAGACCCCCCACCGGGGACGGGCCGCGCATCGCTGGGGGAGGTGCCGGGCGGCCTGGCTCCCGCTCTCACCTGTGCCACGGTGGGTCCCGCGGGAGGCAGTCTTCCGCACCGAGGCCCTCCGCTCCCTTCCGTCTCCTCTTCCTGTTGCTCCCGGGGCGGCCGTCGGTCCCGCTCCCCCCCCGCCGGCCATTCTCTTGCTGCCCTCCGCCCTGGTCCTCCAGTCTGTCGGCGGGCACCTCTGCCCGGGGCTCCGTCCTGCGCTCGAGGCGCCAGTGCTGCCTCTGCATCTGCCCCTCCTGCGGGGGGGAGGCGTCCACGGCCCCCGCGCGCTTCCTCTTCTTCCTTCTCCTCTTCCCCGGAGAGGCTGCCGCTGCTGTGCTCGTCTCTGAGCCCTGCCCCTGGCTCTCCCCCCTGCGGTTCCTTTTCCTCTTCTTACCGAGGCTCTGGGGGGACCTGCTGGCCTCTGGCAGCTGGTGTGAAGGGGCCTGGGAGCCCCCATTGACCTGAGGCAGGAGAGCAGAGGCGGGGGAGCAGCTCTGTGGGTCTGACGTCCCGGGAGGTCGGGGGCTACTGGACAGTGACGCGGAGCGGGCACCGACGGGGAGCTTCAGGTGGCTGGATGGTGGGGGAGCAGGTGAAAGCGCCCTGTGGGGACACGCTGCTCTGATGCACAGGCAGGCCCCTCCTGCCCGCCCACAGCCCCCTGCCCGCCCAGGTGAGGATTTCCCACGGTCCTCCCCCGCCCCCCGTGTGAATCTCAGGTACGCGTAAATTCCACTGACTTAAAAAAGCGGAAAACAACAAAATCCAAATTTACTGAAAATCAAAGTAACCAAAAATCAGAACCTTTTAGTTTCCTGTCACCAAGCAGTTCAAGGTATTTTTCCAAACTTGTGTTACTATCTTTCTGAAAAGATTTATTTATTTTAGAGAAAGAGAGCGAGAGAGCATGCATGTGAGTGGGGGAAGGACACAGGGAGAGAGAAGAGGAGAGGAATCTCAAGCGGACTCCCCACTGAGAATGGAGCCCGACGCGGGGCTCGATCTCACAACCCTGAGATCATGACCTGAGCGGAAATCAAGCGTCAGCCGCCCCACTGTGCCACCCAGGCGCCCCTAACTAACGTTATTAATTTCCAACACGAGTCTGTTACGAGAAACTTCTCTGAATTTGCCCACAAGCCCCAAGGTGTTCACACCCGTGACACCAGCCTTGCGAGGAGGGCCAGCGCAGGCCTGTACATCGTGCACTAGGATCCCCCTCTGATCTGGGGGCTCCGGACAATCAGCTGATCACACAGCGGGACAAGGAAGGGTCGGGACTGGGAGCTCTGTCAGGTTAGGCTCTCTGACCCGCCTCCCGCCAGCGATGTGACCTTGCAAGAGTTAACCTTCTGCTCTAAGCCTCACTCTCCTCCTTCATGACCGAGTGACCATAATGCCGACCTCAAAAGGTTATGGAATCAAACAGGACTACCGTTACGAAACCAGGACAGACGCCTACACAAACCGCTCTACCACTCCGTTTACCATCTTCTGGGAAGTTTTAAAAAAAAAGTCTCTACGTCAAAAAAGGAAAAAAAAAAAAAAAAAACCCCACAGTAAGTACCTCGCACGCTTAAAGACCTTCCACATGCAAAAATATTGTGCTGGGTCCAGGCCGACTGTGAGGGTGGGAGAGGCCGGGTGATGGGAGCGTGAACCCAGCACCCAGCCCGGAGCGGCCGAGGGTGGGGAGGACACATCAGCGCCCAAACCACCCAAACCACCTCCTGGCTTCGCCCAGCTTCCTTCCTCCCTCCCTCCCCAGCTGCCAGGGGCTCCGTCAGCCACCAGGCAAGTGTCAGTAACTCAGCTGTCTGCTACTCAACACCCCAAAGGATATAAGCACCCCGTGTGTCACGGGACGGGAGGTGCGCCTGTTGGGGAGCCTGAACAGGGCTCCCCGAGAACCACACCTCCCCGCTCTGGACGGCTGCCCGAAGCTCCAGAAGCCAGTGCGAGGGGACAGCCAGGGGAAGCCCATGCACGGAGGCTCTGTGCAGGGCTAAGGAGTCCGAGAAGAGCCCGGGGAGCACTGGTGGGAGATACAGAATGATCCTGGCAGCAAGACACCCCTCAGCGGGGTCACAGGACTCTGGGTTCACGCAGGGTCCTTCTGGGACTCCTGCCCTTCTCTTCTACTCTGGAGTCCTGTCACGAGACTGGAGAGGGACCCAGGGCACATCCCCGTCCCCGCATGGACATAGCAGGTGGATGGAAAATGAAGACAAAAGTGAAAAGATCAGGACTGCAGAGACCAGGCTGCCTCTGACTAGCCGGAGCTCCTCTACTGGATGGAGAGAGAGAAAACAGGAAGAAGTCGGTGCAGGATCCACCCTGTACCTGTCCAGCCGCACACCACTGTCCATCCCGCAAGGCTGGAGACCATGTGCATCTTCGCCAGCCAAGCACACGCTAAGCACAGGGGAGGAGCGGCCGGCCCGGGGGGCCTGCGCCCGCGGCTCACCTGATTGCACAGACAGGCCAGGAGGAGGCGGCGACAGGGTGAGTGGTTTTCCTGGGGTAGGTGAGGTCGGACAGTGGTGAGAGGGGTGGACGGAGGTCATTGTCGGCTGCCCTCCGCAGGGTGCTGGCCTGCAGTTATTGACATAAATAAAAACTTGGTGGTCTAAAAGAGGTTGCCGTGAGTGAAGAGGGAAAATAAAAATAAAAAAAAAATAAAATAAAAATAAAAGAGCCCAGAAAGGAGGATGAGGGGACAGAAGGAGAAAAAAAAGGGGGGAGGTGGGGGAGGGGAATGGTAGAAGAAGAATCAGAAGTGTTTTTGGTTAGAAACAAAAAGGAAAAAAGGAAGGAAATTTAAACAAAAATCTCAGCATAGTTACATCATCGAGCTTCGTGCCGCACACAGAGGTGCCAGCCAGCCCGTGTCTTGCGCGCCCCCCGCGCTTGGATTCCCTGCCAAGCCCACCGCACCTGCCCCGTCTTCCCCTTGAGGATTCTGTCTATGGACAAATATGGGGACCTGCCGCCTCTCCCCAACCCCCAGCAGCTGTATGGAGTGTGTATCACATCAGGGTCCCCCAAACTCCGCCTCGGCCCCAGGACAGCCCTGTGTAGTCTGCAAATGCCTACAACTTCGTTGCCCTGATCAGGGGAGGCCAAAGGCCTCAACACAATTCCCCCACTCTCCCCAGACTAAAACCAAACCTGCTCTGTGAGCCCTAGAGACACACTTCCGGCGGGCAGACTCCCACACACCCACCTTCTTGGCAGAAAGGGCCAGTTTTTTGGCTGGTGGAGGAGACATGATGTTTGCGGGCTCGGTGGTGGTGCTGCTCAGGACAGGGGACTTGGGCTTCACCACCTTGGGGTCGTCTCCATCCGGCAGCGCTCTGGAGTGTGTTCCCTGAGAATCCCCCAAGTGGGCCGCTCTGCTCCTGGGTGTCTGGGGGGCCTTGGTGGGGTCATTGCTGGCGGAGTGCTCTGGGCTGGAGCTGCTGGAATCCCTCCCATCGAGCTCGGGGCTCTCGCCACCTGCCTTGGGCCCATGCCCGTTGGCAGTCACTCTGGCCGGGAGCCTGGGTGAGGTAGAGAGGGCAGCACCCCTGCCGTCCCAGGAGCCCTGCCTGAGGCTCTCACTCCTGCTGCCACTCCCGTTGCTGGTCCCATGGAACCCCTGAGAAGCTTTGCGTGACGGGGAGAGGTGCTGCAGGGGCGTCGACTTCTTAACTTTCTTTCCAGGCTCATCCAGAACGGTTGGTGCGTGGGGGGGTGTTTTGGAGAGTCGGGGGGAAGGGGCCCCCACGGGTGGCTTTGGAGGAACGTATCCATTCTGAGACTTCAGACCCGACACGGAGCCGTTCCTGGAAATGGGCACGCCGAGCTCCTCAGGGGCCGGCAGCTTCTTCATCGGCACAGAGTCCAGTCGCTGGAGGAGAGCAGAGGACACGATCACACCCTGGAGGGAGTGCAGGCTGGCGGTTCCCACACAAGGTCAGAGCACCTTCTGCAGCAGGCAGGGTCTCTGCCAAGCAACTCAAGACAGATTATCTACATGGACACACGGTAAAGACACTGCTTCTTCTTTGAACACTTTCAGTATTCTCTGAGTTGGGTACATGGGGGTGTGTATCTTTACGGTCACCTTTACTGAAAGCAGGATGTTTTCATCACGAGTGAAGAAATACAAAAAAGCATAAAGGAAAAAAAAAAGTACCAGAGTTCCACCCACTGCCCAAACTAAGTGCACCTTCTGTTTGGCCCCGATCTCCGGGACGGCTCTGGCCTGCAGAGGTGCGCCCAGTTCCACCTACGCACTGCCTGAAGCATCGTCCTGCGCACCTGGCGAAGGTCTTTAGCGTGTGACCAGCACCCGCCTCGCTGCGTGAAGTTTCTACAACCTGCACCGTCTCCAGCTGCCGCGGAAATGAGCAGCGCCCGACCAAGTACCCCATCCTTCTCCTCCAGACTCCTCACTGCCGGGTCTGAATCGTTGGCTCTGTTTAAACGCTCTACACGGCCTGGGTCTGTGCTGCTCCCCATTCCTGCCTCCTGACTAGTGCGGGGTCTTCTAGAGTCAGAGCTTAACCACCACCTGATTGGTTGCTGAACATTTCCATGAACGAACAACCAACAGACTAAACCTTTTTCCCTACTTGGGAAATTCCCCGCTCGTGTTCGGGAATGGTTACCAGGCTATGGATGCTTCCACGGATGCTGATGCACCCTGTGCAGGGCACTCGCTAGCGGTACTCTCACCGGCAACAAGCAGCTCTTTTTCAAAATCTTTGCTAATTCAACACCATTGCTGGCTCTTACTACATTAACCCTAACACCCTGTGATCTGAGCTCATCCGGACGAGCCCTTCATGTACTAGAAACATGAACCTTTTGTTGTACTTGCTGCAAATATTTTTAGAAGTTTTTTTATTTCTAATATTCCACACACAGAAACTCAAATTTTAATTTATCCAATTTATTGTTTGTTTTTCTATACTTTCTGTCTTACAGTCTTCTCTCTTCTGGGGGCTTGCTGAGAATTCACTTCTACTTTCCTCCAAGTTTCTTCTTCTCTTTTCCCTATGTTTAAAAATAACTTACCCTTTACTTACATTCTCTCTAAAGAGAACGCATCTTCCTGCTGCACTCAGACCTTCTCGTTGGACGTTTAAGTCTGTGGAAGCGACTGCAGTATGTGTGGTACGTAACCTCTGTGGTGCGAATGTGGCTGGCCAGCAGTGTGGCCCCGTGGTACCAACCCCTGGCCTGGGCCACGGTGACAACCCCCCTGGCCATCAGGCCATGGCTTTTCCTTGCCACGTCAACCCCAATGCCTCTATTTCTCACATGCTGGAAGGGAAAGGCAGATTTGCGTAAGGACCAACGCGCTGTGGACCGTGAAGGCCCCACAGCCTGCGTTCAGATGTTCAGACCTTCAGACTGAAGGGGAAGGATGACAAACGCAGTCAGCAGAAAGGACCGACCTGTTTTTGAGTTATAAACTGTGTTGTAGTAAGGAAATTGCTCACTACTCTGCTAATAAAATTGATCTGTAGTAGAAAAATTCAAATATACACAAAAATAACTTGAAAACGAGGGTATTTCCCAATCGCTAACATTTTCCCACATTAGCTTTCTCACTCACTCACTCCACGTATGTGTGTCTACGCATGTATGTGTGACGTTTCTTTTCCTAAGCATCTGAATATATTTTAGACACAATGTCCCTTTACTTCTAAGTATGTCTGTGTATATTCCTAAGAACAAAGATGTTTTAACATAACCACAGCATAATTATCAAAAGCAGGAGATTAACACTGCTAGAAACTGTCCACGTTTTCAATACTGAATTGTGAGGATAGAAAGCACTTCTCCCCAGATGCTTCAGGTCGAGGGTGCACGGCAGCTGGCCTAGGACACGGGCACGCCGAGTTACTGTCTGATCTGCTCGCTGGGTCAGGCTTTCTCATCACTGTCCCTCCTCCTCCCCCAATGTCAGCTCGCGACCAATTTGAGAGAGAACATGGAATAAAACAGGACACACGCAGCTCTCCTTCCTTCGGGCTAAGTTCCCGAGCATGAAGAGGTCTGGGGGGGCTCCATGGTCCTAAGAGGCACAGGCAGGAAGGATCCTTTGAAACACGTACCTTCCCAGTCAGCGGGGAGCCAACGGCCCCATTGCCAATGTTCTTCTTCAAGTGGTCTGGAACCACGCCTGGACGGCCAGGAACGGAGGAGACAGTCCTGGAGAGGGAGCCGTCAGGACTCTTCTTCGAGCCTGGAATTCTGTGGAAGGAAGGGAACCAGTCGGGGATGTCTTACTGAAGCCCCAGAGGCGCCCCAGAGAGAACCCCGATGCCCGAGCGTGCTTCTCTGAATTCCCACGCTGCCCCCACAACAATGTGGGCTTGTCACAGAGCCCCGGGGATCTGCTCAGCATGAACAGAGAGCCCAGCAGAGGCGGAACCTTCCAAGACTAGACTCTCGCTTTTACCAGGAAGCCAGAGACCCCTCAGTCACTGCGCCCAAATTCAGCCGAACAGCCACAAAGCAGCAAAAATGCCTCCAGTCTCCACATCCTCCAACCTCCAGGTCGGTGACAACCGGCCCCAAGAGAAGGTGCCCGGCTGCGGCCTCTACCCTCTGACAGGTTCCTTCGCTGCCCAGAGGAAGGTGTATCAGCAAGCCAACGCCCACACACATCTCATCTGGGGCAACAGGCAAGAAGAAGAGGTAACTTTCCCGTTTCTACTCAAAGTCAGCTCGGTGTGGAGCACGCAGATGGAATCGTGCTCGGATCTTCCCAGAGGCGCTGGCTGTTCCTCAGCAGTGGGCTAGCCTGGTCTAGAGGAGCACTTCCCTGTGGACACCCCCCGCCCCAACCCCGGTGAGCTCTCCATTATGTGCACACAGGAACAGGCCAGGGAGAACAGAGGGAACGAGCTCACGGGGGCAGGGGCAGGAGTTACTCACCGCAGATAGAAGAGCACGTAGGCCTGCTGGTTCAGAACCACCTTGATGTTGCTGGAATGGACCAAGGAATCATTCATTTGGTACCACTGTCCGTTGCTTGCCTGAAGGAGCACAGGGTGTAGTAGAAAACAAAACGGGTCAGTCAACATGCATCCCACAATCCCTAGTTTTTAAAGAATGAAATAAAAAATCTGGGCGCCTGGGTGGCTCAGTTGGTTAAGCGACTGCCTTCAGCTCAGGTCTTGATCCTGGAGTCCCAGGATCGAGTCCCACATCGGGCTCCCTGCTCGGCGGGGAGTCTGCTTCTCCCTCTGACCCTCCTCCCTCTCCTGCTCTCTCTCTCATTCTCTCTCTCTCAAATAAATAAATAAAATCTTTAAAAAAAAAAAAAAAAAAAAAAAAAAAAAAGAAATAAAAAATCTGCAGTTAACTGCTGCATCTATCCACGTGCTAACGAACTAGCAAGGACCTCACGTTAAAATGTCTAATGCTCGTCTGGCTCTGAGTGTGACTACGAAGTGTGCTTTGAATCCCTGTTCCCTCCTGCTGCCCCAGCAGATGTGAGCTTTCCCCTCTGAAGGGTATTTCGGGTCTGAGCAGCACAGCATCTCCCACCAATACACAGCCTTCCCGAGCCTCCACCGGGGCTCCAGCACTGGGCCCTGCAGGCAGCCCCTCTGGGGTCCCATTCAAGGGCAAGGACCCTAGAGCTCCTAGTGGGATGGGCTTCAAAGGCATCTTTGCCCTCCACTCCCCAAAGCAACAACAGGCCCTGAACACGACAAGCAAGGCTACTTTCCACGGAGGCCACGCCTGGACCTGTACCAACGGGCCCCGCCACGCAACGCAAGCGCGCCCGCACGCGGGGGCACTGACCTTCACATAGCAGTAATAGTGGCCCGCGTGGCAGCCATGGCCCGAGTGGACCAGGACCGCGTACAGCCCGTACATGACAGGCTCCCCGCTGCTCTGCGACATATACGGACGGATGTTCAGGAATTCCGGATAGCCCACATCCTGGAGAAAAAGCAACACAGCTTATTAATAAAGGCTCTGAGAGGGCCTGCAATTAAAAAGGACTGCTGAACTTCAGCTTGGCAGTTCCCAAACTCGGCTGAGCACAGACCACTTTCAAAATACAATACAGCTGTACGTACAAAATACACTATCTTGTAAACATACAGCACAAACATTCTGCGGAACACCAGTTCGGGAAATGCTGATACAAGGAAGCCCCCATCACTGCCAGTGAGAAAGCTGAGGCTCTGACAAGTGCCTTGCCCCAAACCATCTAAGTCGGCTCTAACCACTTTTATGATACGGCATCTTCTATTAAAATGCCACTGTGCACGACACCTGGCGGCCTCAGTCGGGCGAGCATCCGACTCTTGATCTCGGGGTCATGAGTTCAAGCCCCATGTTGGGGGTAGAGAGACAACTTAAAGAAATGAAGTAAAATGAAATAAAATGCCATTGTACAAGAGTAAGTTTTTATTCTACCTCCCACAAAAAGCCACGCAACAGCACGTGGTGGATCAGAGTCCCACAGTGCAGTGGTCTCGCTCATTCTGAAGGAAACCTTGAGCTTCTGCATGGGGAACATGCCACACACAGGCAGAGGTTGGCAAAAGAACCCAGTAAGTCAGTGGGTCTTGAAGTTGACCGTGCGCGACAACCACTTAGGGATTCTGCAAACATGCAGACTCCTGAGCCCTGTCTTCCAGAAATTTCCAGTCACTGGCTCTGGGGTGGTGCTGGGAACCTGTATTCCTTAAAGGCTGCTGACCACGCAGATCGGACACCACAGCGAAGGCTCACCTTCGTGATCTTCCCCCCACTGAAGTTGGCAAAGCGCTTGAGGGAAAGGGTTAAGACGTTGGATGTTCTGTGGATGGTGAAGCGCTTGCTGGCTGGGACCTTCTTCTTGCATCTGTGAGGAGGGTGAGAGGAAAGGGATCAGCTGGTGCTCTGAGGAACGCTGTCCTCATGCGGGCCCACAGCAGTGACAACTGGCTCTGTCGGGACAGGGTCTCCTTGGCTGAGGCATGTGCCGTCTGCATCCCGAGACGTGAACCCCTGCGACTTGAGTGAAGGGAAGCCAGCGTAGGGAACCAAGGACCAGGGGAAAGCTGGACATCGCAGAGCAACAAGGAAGCTCTTTCCCACGGAGGGCACTAGGTCGGATGCACGGGCAGCAGCTCTGGGACACGGGAAGGAACGCCTGGAGCGGGGCTGGCGGAGTGAAATCACTGAGTGAAGCCGGAAGACACGGAAGTGAGGGGGAGAGAGACGAAGGAAAGCAAACAGCCTCTAGGGCACGGAGAGACGAACTCAGAGAGGGGGAAAAGCAGTGTTTTGGCACGGGATAATCAATTTGAAAAGCGTAATAAAGAAAACTATTCTTTAGTGGCCGCAGCTTCTGGAGGGGCTACGCATGAACTACAGCCCCCACACGCTAAGTCTGTGCGGCCCTCAGGAGACCCGGGCCACCAAAGGCGGCTCATCTGGGACGCGGGCCGACAGAGGCTGGAGCCGATGGCCACGTGCGGTCCCCTCCCGGCTATGTGCCGCCGCTGGGACCTATGTCCCCGGTGAGGAGCGCTCAGAATGGTGCCTGGCACATCCAAGGGCGACGTAAATAGACATCAGCTGGCAAAACCGCGGCTGCCCTTCATCTGCGCCTTTGAGAGCATCTGAGCTCCACAAGGGACTAACGGCGGCCCTGAGCAGGGACGGCCCGGCCGCAGCGTGGGCCAGGCGGCTTACTCGAGGTCTTCCCCGACGGCAGGCTCGCTCTGCCGGGAGCAAAACGAAACTTACTTTGCACACATATAGGCGTTCTCTCCGCTCAGGACATCTGGTTTCACAAAAAGTTCCAGAGCACGCACAATATTAGCAGCTTGCTGAGGAGGACAAAAACGGAATCGCGTCAACGGAAGAAAAAGGCTGACTCAAGAAATGCCAACTGTAAGGTCTCTGTCAGGCTGAGGCAGCAAATCCCAGCCATCGGCCCGCATCCACACCGGCCTGCCGGCTGCTGCCTTCGGGCCCTCACAGGCCGTCCCGCAAAGGAGCAGGGAGCAGGCGGCCGAGCCGGTTCTACGGACATGGGGCCCGGCCTGGCAGGGCTCCCCTGCGCCCTGGGCACCGAGGACCCCGCCGCGGCTGCAGCCACAGAGAGCTGGAACAGGACGGGGGCTGGCCTCCCCAGGGCACGTGTGTGAGCGGCCCTGCACCCTCCATCTACGGTGTGCTCACCCCTCATGCCTCGGGACACAAAGCTGCGTTGTATCTTCCTGTGTTAAACGAGAGGAATGCGCACAGGGAAAAGGCTAGAAATCAACGCGCAAAAGCAGCGGCCCCTACTATAAGGCAGCAGCATTCCCAGTATTTCTTTCCTTACCTACCTGCGTAATATGCCCTCACTGGGTCCCCTGCTCCCCACCCCCAGCCTCCCCGGCCGAAGGCAAACACGACACAGCGGAGCTGTGGGCCATACCCGGATCTCCAGCGCTATGTCCAGGTAGGGGTCGTATGTGTCCGAGACGCTCTTGCACACCGAGCACTTCACTGCAACGAAATACGGAGGTGGTGGGGCGGGGGCAGGTGCCCCCAGCACGCCACCCCCAGGTCTCTAAGATCTAGCCAGCCCTGGTGAACGCCGGTGTCTGGGGAGAGAGCTCGCTGGCAACCAGAGTGCACAAGGGGACGTCTATCCAACCCAGCACCTTGCTGCTCAGCCCAGTGACAGGCCCCAGTTCCCAGCTGAAGGGCAGAGGCCACGTGTGAAGAACTAAGGAACTCAGAGAAAAATAATGCCACCCTCCTCTACCCGTGCTGGAAATCCTGCTCCAAACTTCCTCCCGGGAACAGCGAGCCCATGGGCAAGGGCGTGTTTCAGAGGAGGCTGGGGCCTCCATGGCTGCCCCAGCTCTGCCCGTCAGGAAGGGGCTCCAGCTGGGCATGAACTCCTAGTCTTTCCTGGTTAAGGTTCTCATCCTTGACAACAGGGTAGAGAAAACGTCTTCACTCACCACGTGATCTGAGATAGCCTCCAAAAATCTGATGGACCAAAGTAGTAGCCTGCGTTTGACGATCCAACCTGGAATGGAGACCACAGCCTTCGAGAAGAGGCCAGGAGGCAGCCCCTGCCCCTTTCATCCCCAGCCCAGAGCACCCTGGGGAAATCCCACCACACAAGTGTGGGTCTGACGCGCTCCCCCCGGTGCTCGGCGGACCCCCAGCTGTGCCCCGCTGCTCTGATGGGCCCGGGCCGCGCCCCACCACTGCCCCCTCAGGCCTTCAAGACCCCCGTGCTCTCCACAGGCACCTCGCCCTGCACTTCACAGGAAACGAGAGGCTGGAGAAACGCCCCTAGTGCCCACCCAGTCCCAAGGACAGAAGCGGCCCCCCCACCTGGCCCCCACCGCCCGCCCCCCAGCTCACCCCGCCTCAGTCCTGCATGGTCAGCTCCGCTCCTTGCTGGCTGTCACACGCCCGAGCCTCTTATCTGAAGAGTGGCAGCGAGCAGGACAGAGCCCCGCCTCTGCATCTTTTGGCAGGACAAGAGCTGTCACGGCGTGGGCTCCAGGGTCAGGCCGGCCTGTACTCGAATCCCCCAGCCCCATTCACCAACCAGGAGCTGAGGCCGCCCTAGGCCTTAGCTGCTCCTGCTCACCTGCCCCACAGAGCTGCTAAGCTGAGCGCCCACACCCCACAGCTATTCATGTGATGGAGATACTGGGAACACCACCCTGTCTCGAGCCTCTGCTCCTGGTGTCTGCCTGCGACCCACCGAGTCTGGCTCTGACTCTCGCCTCAGCGTCCTCCTCGGGGACACAAACCCAGCCCCGGACAGAGCAGGCGCTCCGTCGCGGGCACACCCTCCCCTCCACCAGGCCGGTCCCCTGCGCCCCGGCTCTGCAGGGGCTTCTCCTGACGCCCTGACTCCCGGGCCCAGCCAGGCGCTCGGCGGTGCCGCCTCCCAGCGCTCTCCTCCCCACCCCCTGCACACACCACGCGGCGCCCTGTGCGAGGCCCCCCTGCAGTGTAAGGCAATGGCCACGGGACCAGCCACCACAGTGCTGCCCACGCTCCAGGAGCTCACTGAGGAGCGAACTCCACACAGCAGGGGACCAACACAAGGGCAAGTTTCTGTTTTGCAAAATTAGGAAATGAAAAACCAACTGCCACCGTGTATTTTCATCACCGTTCGTCAAGAGGAGGGACATAATCTCAGCGCAAACTGGAAGCTTGTGGCCAGCCACAGGTGACGGCGGCTGCTGAGGTCCAGGTGGCCCTGAGCCGGCCCGGCTGTCAGAACAGGAGCAGCAAACCACCGCACAGAACCCGCTCTCGGGACCCCGAGGCAGAGCAAGCTCCAAGCTCAAACCAGCCGTAGGGAGGAAATAAAGCCAGATTCCAGCAAGACGTCTTCCGTACCCCTGCCGGAGCCCTGCTGGAGATTAAGGCCGGTCTGGGGAGCACCGAGGCAGAGACCAGGGACTAGAGGTGACCCCGGAGTCACCCAGTATCCCCAGCAGGAGGAGCCCGCCAGGTCCTGAGACACATGTCATACCAGGGGCCGTCCAGCGCTCGGGTTCCGGGATAGAAGGCGCCCTGGACTGAGAACCACGCGAGCCCCCAGGCCCGGGGCGGTGCCGAAGTGGCCTCAGTCCCACACGGGCACTGCTGGAGGGAAACAGTGAACGAGAATCACAGCACCTCAGCTGGTGAAGATTAGCCCCTAGAAAGCAAGCCCAAGGCAGATGAAAAGAGCCATACGAGATACTAAGCTGACCTAAAGACCCTCAGACAAGCGTTTGGGGAAGGAAAGACCACCCTAAGAAGTTTCAAACTAAAAATAAAAAAGGGCAAATGGAGAAAGTTAACTAACATGGAGAGAAAAGATGAAATCACGTCAGGAATGAAGTGGGAATTCCAAGGGGCCCAAGGGAGAAGAGATTCAAGTGAACACGGGGGAGGGGAGCGACATGGTGGGAAAGCAGCCGGAGGGGAAGTCGAGGAAACGAGCTGCCAGAGAGAAGGGGGTCCCGCAGGAGACCGCCAGTGACTGGAGATCCTGACACAGGCCGTTAACACAGAACCAATACCATCATGTGCTCTGGGGGTGACAGGACTCTGTGATGAGTGTCACCGCTGATGACAGGTGGGAAACCGTGCGGCAAGCACGACATGCCTAATTCATCGTGTGCATTCTCAAGCCACGATACTCAAGCCGAGCTGATCGGGAGGTGACGGCGTTCGGATGCTAGTGCTCTTGCCGGCAGAAACCGTTTCTGTGCACACGATGCTGGAGTCGACATGTGCCGCAGATTCAAGCTCTCATCACTGCTCAGGTGTCTACCAAACTGACTGAAAACGATCAGCTCGAAAGACGTTCCTAGTGAAACCATCAGACTTCAAAGAGTAAAAAAAAGATCCTGAATCCTCTCAGTAAGGTCCCTGCAAGGTCAAGAGAGGGACTGGCCTCTGGGTTCTGAAACCCCGCATCGCCCAGTCCAGGACGCCTGGGACGCCCAGGCAGGAGGACAGGCCCCCCAGGCCTATTTAATGGGGGAAAGACTGAAGCAAAGGTGGAGACAAACGTGGGAGGGAAGAACAGTAAGGTAAGAGATAATGTAACTAAGAGGCGGGGAGAAAGGAGAGGAAAGGACAGAGGTGCTGGGCCCCCCCCAAACACTGACAAACAGAACCAGAAAAGAGGAGCAAGGCCATGCACAAGGGTGCGTGGAGAGTCGTCACCCGAACGGAGATACAGGTCTTCCTGAGTACCACACGAAAGCTTAAAAATTAACGTGTAAAGGGAAACCAGAGAGAGGGAGAAACACAGCCAATGCGCCGTGTGTGATAATTAAAAACCTCAGCATCACGGCCAGGTCAAGACCAAACCTCAGTCGTCACAATAAATGCGAAAGGGCTGAACTTACTTATGAAATAAACAGGCTTTCAACAAAGATATGATGGTTGTGGGTAAATGACCACAGCCACGTTCACAAAGCAAAAGCTCCAGGAGGCACAAGGAGGCGGGTGCCCGCCAGTGACAGGACAGCGAGCACCGTCCCGGCGAGAGACCGAGGCAGCAGGAAGCGAGCACGGGCAGGGAAGGCAGCCGGCAGGTCTCACGGCAAACGCGCACCCAGCCACCCGGCCAGCAGGGCAGCACGCCGCGTCACGGGCGCCGGGAACATGTGCGAACACCGGTGTGTACCGGGTCACAAAGCCAGTACCAGCAAGGTCCACAAAGTAGAAATACCAGAAATACTCTCCGCTCGCAAGTTCAACTAAAAATCTCTAACAAAACCAAAAGGAAAAAAAAGCCATTTCCACCTGCAAGTCAAATTGAATCATTCAGCTGATGTGACCCTTCTTTTTTCTTTTTAAGATTTTATTTATTTGACAGAGACACAGCGAGAGAGGGAACACAAGCAGGGAAGCAGGAGAGGGAAAAGCAGGCTTCCCACAGAGCAGGGAGCCTGATGCGGGGCTCGATCCCAGAACCCTGGGATCATGACCTGAGCCGAAGGCAGACGCCTAACGACTGAGCCACCCGAGCGCCCCCGTTTTTTCTCATTTCACTAAGAGCAGCGACACCTTTCTCATGGAGGGGTGTGTGGAAAGCATCCCACAACACCCTGCACTGGCTTACCTGACGTCAGACGCGCTCACCCTTCCTCCCAACGCATGGCCACTTCTGTGTCCTGGACCACGAAGGGCACAGCGCCACCCACCCTGCTGCCCAGACCACAAACCTGGACGCAAACCCCAAACATCCACCCCACCTACCGGCCCATCCCTGAGAGTCTGGGTAACGCGGCTGGCATGGCGGCAGGGTCAGCTGCCGTCCTAAACCTCCCAGGGGTTTCCACCGCGGGACCAAGGCTGGGAACCCCTGCCAGGGACGTGCTGTACCCACCTGCATGGCAGGGAGGCCTTGCCTAGGACCGGCCACATTCCTTGCCTCCTCCCTCCCCCTATCTGAGCCCTGCAGGGACTCCTCCTAGGAAGGAGGCCTCCTGCGGGTAGGAGCGCAGCACAATTCTTCTGGGAATGGCTCCCACAGAGTCTGTCCACTATAGTACTTACTACGTGACCTTGTAGACACGGGCCAGTATCTGCCTCCCCCCTCACTCTCTGAGCTCCTCCAACTCGAGAACCCAGTCTTTCCCTGAAGTACCCAGTGTGAACATAGTGCCTGGCACACAGGGGGCTTCAGCAGAGAGTTCAGATCGTTAGCCGCAGCCCGGGGCGGGGAGAGGCACGGGAAGGGCAGAACCAGCGTCTATCTGCCTGCAGGGACCTCGCTGCACATCTCAGCACGGCAAGGGACAGACGCCAGAGGAACCCATGGAAAGTTTTCTCAGGGTTTAAAAAGAATTGCATCACTGAGACCAGAGGTTGCCCACGATCACTGCTACAACTCGACTTTGCTGAAGGACGTTCCGGATGTTTCCTAAGCTGTTTAATGGGTATTTCCAGAGCCCAGGACTCAGCTCTACCCTAAGCCCAGGGAACAGCCTTGGAACAGGGAGCATTTTCGGCCTATTTCCCTTTGTCTGAACCCAGGAGCCAGGAGTGGTACAAAACCATCCCTGACCGTAACTGTTTCACAAAAGGGGAGGCACGGCACGAAGTCAGCAACCTGTCATATGCGTTTGTCTCTGCTTTCAAATCGAAAATGAAGACGTAACCACACAGAACGCAGCCTCAAAAACTGTAAACCTCCCGCCCTCAAACGTCCCTGCGTGCTTTCAAGTGCTTTCATGAAGATGTTGAAATTCCTACCACCCCATCCTCTGTATCAAAGTCAGATGATTTTTAAAAGACGGGAAGAGTCTAGGACAACAGCCGAAGGCCCTCAGAAAGATCTGCCAGCATCCTTCCTGCAGGGGGCTGCTGGGACAGGGCTCCCCCAGCGCCCGGCCCCGCCAAACCGCCCCTGGTGAGGAGGGTGTGCGGGGGGGGCCGTGCCCCGGGAAGCAGGAGCGGCCCTGCATCCGAGCTTCAGCAGGTGCAGGACCCGGACACAGGTATCTACAGAGAACGCCCGGGGTAATGGAGGGGTGGCCGCCTCCGCAGCGGCGGGGTCTGAAACCCCTTAGGGGAGTGGGTGAACGGAAGGCACGTACTTGGCACGGCCGTTCAAACAGGCCTTCTGCATGGCGTCGATTGTGTACCGGAGAAACTCGTGTGCGTCCTCCTGGTTTCCAAAGCGGAAATGCCGAGCGATCTCTGAAGAAAGAAAGAAGCATCAGCCTGGCGGGGAAGAGCTCACGCCTCCCCCCCCAGTCACCCACTGCTGTGTGCTCATCACTGACCCCCCGCTGTGCCGGGGGTAAGCGGCAAGTGAGGGGATCAAGAGCTCGGCGTGAACTGTGTGTGTGTCCCAGCCCCGCGTCCACACGGCAGGTGTTTTCTCAGTGAGACCCGAGGGCCTACACTCTCCATACTTAACAGCAAAGCATGGATGCCACACAGCACCAGCCACTGAGAATGGGAAACCCACCGATGAGCCAGTCTTCCAGAAGCCGGCACAGAGCACAGGCGGGTCACAAGGACGCTGCACAAGGTTTCAGAAACCAACTGACCCATGTCTTCTACCGAGTGAACAGGAAATCTGCGCTAACCAGTCCTAGGACGTTCAGAAGAGCCCCGGCCTCACCCTCCTCCCTGAGACACAGCTCCTGCCCCCCAGCTAGCCCGAGCTTCCCCACCCTTCAAAGGGAGGTCAGCACTCCCCTCCCCCCGACCCCGCCCCACACCAGCCTCAGTCTGCACTACCATGTGCGCCAAAGTACTGTGACGTGAGTTAGGACTCCTGCGCCTCATCACGGACTCCTCCCCGCACCCCCAACGCCCCCGCACCCACCGCAGACTAGGGCTTAGCTGCCATCCGTCAGGAGTCGACTCTTACTTTTCAGATCTCGGATGAAGGAGACGGGCTTGATGGCGTTGCCGCTGTTGGCGAAGGCCTGGACCATGTGGTTCTGCATGACGCACAGCATGCAGAAGCTGCCCTGGTGACCTGCACGCGGGACGAGGGGGTCCTGGTTCGTCAGAGCTCCCGACACACTCCTGATGCCCCTGCCCCCACACAGCTCCCATCCAAACTGCGATCCCAACACTCACCCCACCGCCCCAGGTTCGCGCTGACCTGTGTGAGCTCCCTCCGCATGCCCTTGGTGCTAGTTACCCATAAGAAGAGTAGTAAGTCTGCTTTTCAATCTTCTCTAACCGCTAACCTGTGTCACGTGGTCAGTGAGAAAGTTTTAGGGATTCCTGACAACCCTGAGTTTGCTCCTCCAACGGGGGAACCTCCACTCTTGCTTCTAGGCAACACCGCACTGCTGCACCTCGAAGCTTGGCAAGCTTCCTGCACACAGACCCACGAGCTAAGGGCGTCCGGCTCCAGCAACTGCCCCGTCGCACACAGTCCCCGGCGACACGGCTCTGCGTCCGGAGAGCATGGGCAGCCTCGCCACGCAGCCGCAGACAATACGGAAACGGGGTCCAGCGGGCCTCGGTCCGCCAGCCCCTGCCACGTCTGAAACTCTCCGCTGCTCCTTGGGCAGCAGGCTGGAGAGCAGTCCATTTAACCCTTACTGCAAATTAGGAGACCTTTTAACTAGCAAAGAAGTACAAAGCCCAAACCACTCAGCTCCAACCCAGCTGAGGTGTTCTGCAAGTAAAACACTGCTGTCATTGCTGCCCGCGCTGCCCACACTCCCCCACCGGAGGTACTGCCGTCCCCAGCCAGGTCCCGACTGCTCCCACTAACGTGGTTCTTGCGCTGACCCACGTGTCGCACACGGTGTGTTTAAGCTTACTTTACACAAATTACGCCATGCAGTACGCACTGCTCAGCGATCGGTTTCGACGAAGCTCTGGGTCCTTCTGGTAGGCGAGAGGACCTCACCCAACAGAGAGACCACAGTTCACTCATGGGTTCCCCACTAACACACATGGGCCCTTGCATGTTTCTATTGCAAACAACCCTGCACCGGTCTCCTTGCGTCGAACCTTCTTGAAGGCGTACCCCCACAATAGGCCTTTGGGTCCAAGAGCAAGCACATCTTCAATTCTGCAAGCTACTGCTGTCTCAGATATGCCCCAGAACTGCCCAAGCAGACCAGTCATAACACAAAATGCACCACAAGCCAACTGCTCTCCGCTGTGCAACAGCTCTCCTTACACAGTTACTCTGACCCACCTCAAAGCCAACAACGAAGCAGCATGTAGCCCGCTCACTGTATTTACAAACAGAACACAGCTCGTGTTGGCAAAGACGTGGACGGGCGCGAACCCCTCCCCGCGCACTGTTGCTGAGGATGCACACTGCGGCAGTGGCTGTGGGAAACAGCAGGGCGCTCCCTCAAAAAATCAAAAACAGAATTCCCATATATCCAGCAATCCCACCTCTGGGTTTACACCCGAAAGAAATGAAAGCAGGGTCTTGAACAGCTATGTGCACCCATTTTCACAGCATTATTCACAAGAACTAAAACCCGAAGCCAAGTGTCCATCAACAAATGAATGGGTAAGAAATGTAGGATGTACACACAGTGGAATGTTACTCAGCCTTAGAAAGAAAAGCAAATCTGACACCTGCCACAACATGGATGAACCTTGAGGACGTGATGCTGCATGAAGTCAGCCAGTCACAAAAAGATCAATACTGGGGGCGCCTGGGTGGCTCAGTTGGGTAGCGTCTGCCTTCGGCTCAGATCATGGTCCCAGGGTCCTGGGATTGAGCCCCACATCGGGCTCCCTGCTCAGCGGGAAGCCTGCTTCTCCCTCTCCCACTCCCCCTGCTTGTGTTCCTGCTCTCGCTCTCTGTCAAATAAATAAACAAAATCTTCTAAAAAAAAAAAAGAGATCAATACTGTATGATTCCACTTAAACGAGGTAGCTGGAGTCGTCAGGTTCACAGAGACAGAAAGTAGGATGATGGGTGCCAGGGGCTGGGGGAGGGGGACAGGAAGTTAGTGTTTAAGGGGCGGAGTTTCTGTTCGGGAAGAGGAAGGAGGTCTGGAGGTGGATGGTTGCACGATAATATGAATGTATTTAATGCCACTGAGCTGTACACTCAAAAATGGGTCAATTTTGGGGCATCTGGCTGGCTCAGTCAGTGGAGCATGCAACTCGATCTTGGGGTCATGAGTTTAAGCCCTACATTGGGCGTAGAGATTACTTTAAACAAATCTTTAAAAATGGTAAATTTTACATTACATACCACAGTACAAAAGGGTTTTATCTAAAAAAAAATGCTACTATATACACTACCCCTTTGGAGGGATCTTGGAAGAACGGTTTATGTGAGCACCTTTACATAAAGGGAAGGCTTTTACTTCTCATTTTAGAGCTTTTTGGACTCTTCTAACCATAACCATTTATTACTTTTATTTTTAAAATGACAATAATGGCTGAGGGGGCTCAAATTTAGGCAAAAAAATAAAACATGTTATTTAAAATAACTTAAACATACGCACTCACCAATGCTGAACAGAGAGCTCCCACCTTCCCAATCTAACTCAGGTGAGGACATGACTCTGTCAGCTGTGTGGGAATCAAGACCGTTAGCCTGATAAATCATCACTCCTAAATAGGGCCAGGAACAATTTTAGCTAGAAATTCCTGAAACAGGGATTCCCAAATTGTTGGCAATATGCAAGACTGATTTAAGTGGCATGTGGACAAACACTTTCTTCAGGTAATTAAGAAAAACAGAACATGAAAGTCAAAGGGTGCCTGGGTGGCTCAGTCGTTAAGCATCTGCCTTCGGCTCAGGTCATGGTCCCAGGGTCCTGGGATCGAGCCCCGCATCGGGCTCCCTGCTCAGTGGGGAGTCCGCTTCTCCCTCTCCCTCCACCGCTCCCCCCTCTGTCAAATAAATAAATAAAATCTTAAAAAAAAAAAAAAAAAGAACATAAAAGTCAAATCCATGACTTCTGACTTTTGGGACCTTGCTACTTCAATTTGGAGAAGAATGTGCAAAAGGATAGAATTTAATCCTCCTGCAAATTTTACATAAAGTGTTTCTTTTCAGGGCTCCCAGCCGGCTCAGTCGCTGGAGTGTGTGACTCGATCTCAGGGTTGAGTTCGAGCCCCATGTTGGGTGTGGAGAGCACTTAAAAATCAAGTGTTTCTTTTCCAGCTCGATGCTGGTGCGGAAGTGGTCTAGTACGCAGCAGGACTCGGCGCTCCGGGCCACACGTACGGCAGCCCCGGTGATACTTCTGAGTCCTCAAGAGCCTTCAAATAGCAGGCATTTGAGGAGCAAGAGAGGACAGCCCGAGCCCAGCTGGGGTCTCTCAGAGAGCCAGGGGGTATAGGCCAACAAATGCTAAGACTTAACACTTTTACTCTGAAAAAAAGGAAGACACTAAGGTTAGCATTTCAGAGTGATGCAGACGGACACTGGGGCACTCACAGGAGAGGCGTCCTGAGCCAGGGCGAGACGTCCCGCTGCCAAGAGGGGCCGATCCTGGCTGCTCCCGCCTCACGCCCTCACTCCCACGGGCTGCAGAGTATGTGTGGCGGGTTATGGGATTCCTGGGTGTCACCTAGTTTTCCTACACTAATCCTAATCAAGCTGACGAAGGGGCCTGCCGAGGAAGCAAAACCGGAGGGCAGTGCACAGGGAAGCAGGGTAAACAAGAAAATGGCAGCGCTACCTAGGTCTGGAGAGTAGGGTCTCCTCACCAAAGTCATGAGAAAAAAACAAGAGCACCGGGGTGCTGGGGGGGCTCAGTTGAGTGTCTGACTCTTGATTTCAGCTCAGGTCATGATCTCAGGGTCGTGGGATTGAGCCCCGCCTTGGGCTCTGCGCTCAGCATCTGAGTCCACTTGAGATTCTCTCTCAAAAAAAAAAAGGGCTTAAAAAGACAAAAAACCACAAAGACAGCCCAGTTGAGTCTTTCTAAAAGTCCACCCAGAACCCCCTCGACATCACCAAGGTCACTACCAGAAATAGAGATTTATAACCAATTTCACCTGCAGTGGGTATGGTACCTCAGTGTGTTAACTCTGGCCACCAAAGAACCATCACAATCGCAAGATGTTTTATTAAAAATGCTATTTCCATCACATGTCACCTTTCACGAATTTAAAAAAACAGAACGAATCTCCCTGAACACATCACACAATCCACTTTTATCCTAACACTGCTCCTCACTTGCTCCTATCTGGTCCTGCCTCTGGTTCTATCCTGATTCCCTGACTTATTTTCATTGTTTACCAATTAAAAAAAATATATATTTTTTTTAAGTCTTACCCCATATGTGTATACCTAAACACTACAGCGTCTTGTTTTTCTTTTTTTTTTTTTTTTTAAAGATTTTATTTATTTATTTGACAGAGAGAGAGCGAGAGCAGGAACACAAGCAGGGGGAGTGGGAGAGGGAGAAGCAGGCTTCCCGAGGAGCAGGGGGCCCGATGCGGGGCTCGATCCCAGGACCCTGGGATCATGACCTGAGCCGAAGGCAGACGCCTAACGACTGAGCCACCCAGGCGCCCCTTGTTTTTCCATTTTATAAATAGCAATTCACGCTGTACGCAACCTTCTGGGACTTTTCCTTCACTGCATTATTCAGCCCCATGCACGAGTGGTCCTTCATTCCCCTGCCCCGCTGCACGCTGTTCCTCATGGGCCTGCGCCGTGATGCGCGCATCCGTCTGCGGACGGGCACCGGAGCGGCTTACGATTTGCTGCTTGCAGATATTTTTACACAGGTGTCCTGACAGGCACGTATAGAGCTCTTCTGCAGGCGGAGTACTGCTGGCTGGCACGTTATTTGGAAGATAAGGCCAGCTCAGGCGAGCATAAAAGGTTCTCGCTCATCTTCATGCGGACACTCGGTCCCGCCAGGCTTCTGAATGTGCATCCATCACAAAGGTGTGTCGCATCGCTGTTGTCGTGGTTTTGATGACACTTCCCTGATTTCAGCAAGGCTGAACACCTCTCCCTATACTCTGACCAGGAGTTTCCTCTTCTGTAAAATGCTGGTTCATAATTTTACCTTTTTATGGGTTTTGTCTTTCCCTCATTGGTCTGTATTCTTTCCACATTCTTGGTAGCGATCCTTTGCTGGTTATGTGTCCCGGGTTTTGCCTCCAGCTCATAGCTCCCTGTCTGCCTTTTAAGTGTTTTTTTGGGAACAAATGTAAACTTCAATGCAGCTCAATCTGTCATTTTTCCTTTATAGTTGGTGTTTTCTGAGCTCTGCTTAAGAAACTTCCCATCCCAAGGTCAGAAAAAGATTGGCCAATGTTTAAGAGCTTAAAATTTGCTTTTGATATTAAATTTGTAACGCATCTTTTGTGCACAGGTATGCTGTGAAATGGGGACCCTATTTTGCTTTTTCCATATGTAAGCACGAGTTCTTTTAAAGTTCCATTAATTTCAAATGGGAGACACATGAAGAACCAACACGTAACACACCTCCAGATGTACGCAGGTCTGTTTCTGGGCTCTATTCCGTTCCACTGGTCAGTGGGTCCCCTCCCTGACCCAATACTATGACACTTTAATTTTTCTAACTTGACAAGACTTCATAGTCAGTAGGGCACCCCTCTTCTCATAAAATTTTTTTATAGTAGCAAAATTTTTAAAAAACTCCTTGTCGTGTGGTGTAGAGAAATTCAACTAACTTTTTGTATGTTGATGTTGCATCTAGTCACATTGCCAAATTTCTTATAGATTCTCTTGCTTTTTCAATGCAGGAATGTCATTTTCAAGGAACAATAGTGCGCTCCTTCCTTTTGTCTCCTTGGTCACTGCTCTGGCTAGGACCGACACATCTTCAACATAAGTGGTGAGAGAGACCCTTGTTTCACTCTGTATTCTGAAGGGTATGCTTCCGATATTTTCCTATCTAGAATGCTTTTTTTTGTAGTGTTTGGTAGATACCCTTTATCAAGACAAGGTAAATCCTTCCTATTGCCCCTTTGCTAAAAGTTTATCATACGTTTCTTTTTGGGGGCATTATTTTTAGGTGACCTTTCTCTTTTAATCTGTTGATACAGTAATTAAGGAAGCAAAATTAGCAGTCTCTTATGTAGCACTCCCTGTGTGCCAAGTACTATTCTGAGCACTTTACATAACTCCTTCAAGCTTCCCAACAGCTCTATCGGGGAGATGGTATTATTACTTTGCAGATGAATAACAGGAAGTTTCTAAAAGGTTAGGTAACATCCTCAGGGATCACAGCACTTCGGGGGAGAGCCAGGACGGGACCCAGCAAGCCCACCTCCGAAGAAGCAGTTTCACTAGTTGTGCTGTGAGCTCTCCACGGTCACACTTAGAGAGTTCCTGATACTAGAACATCCCTGCATCACTAGGATGAACACGAGTTGCTCACAGTGTTTAAGAGACTCTTGAACGTGGTAGTATTCTGTCCAGAAGTTTGTAACTACACTCATGAATTGTAATTGTTCTTTCTCCTACTGTACTTAATTTTGTTACCCAAGTTATAAGAACCTCAGGGGTTCTCTTTTTCTATTCTTGGGAAGAACCTGTGAAGCACTGCAACAATCTATTTCTCAAAATTTTCATAAAGCTCACCCATAAATCATTTCAGCCTGGTGTTTTCTTCATGGGAAGATTTTTAACCACCAATTTAATTTCTTTTATTAGTAGTTAAAAGGCTTTCTACTTTCTTCAGTTTTGGTAAGTGACATTTTATTTCATCTTTACCCGTGTTTCATTTCTCCTCCGGGGCATGTTTTATGTGTAGTCATTGAATGTACATGTTATGAACATATTTTTTGAAAACACTTTTCTCCCTCTAGGTACTCATTTTCAGAACAGTTTGGGACCAACGCTCTACCCGAGTGACTGGCTTCTGTGGCCCGGCCTACAGCGGGCACGTGTCAGACTTAGGTTTTATCAGTTACTACATCACGGACTTCACTCCTACATCTGACCCAGGCCAAAGACTGCTAGGACCACGGGCACATGGGTTTGTCTAATCAGGAGACTGTCTGGTTCCCACAACTCCCGCAACCCCCCCCCCCAGCTACCAGCTCCCACTCACAGTTACGAGTATGCTCCTTGGAGAGCAGGTAGTTGGCCAGAGGCGGGGTGTAGGTCAAGCACTGTATGGTCGAGTTCAGGAAGCAGGTGTTGCCCAGGTTGTGGAGCCCTGCTCCCACGCGGTAAACCCGCTCCCACTTCAGAGACAGCCGCTCCGTGGGGAAGAGCACTTTCTGTGGGGCGGGGACCCCATCACCGCCGCTCTCGTGGGCATGCTCACTGCCTGCAAGAGAAAGGGACAGGGAAGAAAGGAGGGCTTAAGTCTACGCACAGGTGGGGCACGAAACAGAAATCGCTGAGGCACACTCGGCAGGTACCTGCCAAGACGCAGTGTCAGAGGGTAACTGGTGTCCCCGCTGACTGGAAGTTACTAGAAAGCCCAGGAGAAAACCCAGTCATCCCGTGGCTCCTGCAGACTGCTTAGGTCTGGAATTCACGGAGCCCTCCACGGAGGACGACCCTCAGAGCATGAACAGCTGGAGCCCGGCCCATTTCTCTTGCCTCCTTCTCAGCCCCGCTGCTGATCCTACTAAACACACACAACTTCCACGGCCTCTCTAAGGACACAGATCTCTTTGTGACCAACCCTGTATCATTACTTCTGTAACTACAGAGCCGCTGACCCCAGAGAAGCTTCATTACTCTCGGACCACACTCTGTTTTTGTTCCTCCTGATCAGTCAACACTTCATCCATCCACTTGGTCAACACACAGTGAGACCCCTTCTGCCAGCCAACAGCATGTCTGTACCCTGTCTCCTGGCCTGTGGCTCGTCTCCACTCCTGTGGCGACCGGCTCCCTCCGTTTTCGGGTTCAGCAAGACATATTTGCTCTTTAATGACTCCAGCTGATAGGAGAAACTCTTGCTGGCTGGTTCGAACTCGATCTTCTGTAAAAGGACCTTCTTGGCAGAGGCGGCAAGCAGCTTTCCCAGCTCTCCATCGTCAGCCGAGTCCTTGCGGCCAGGTTTCAGGGCTTCCTTCAATTTATCGACTATTGGCATGGTGCATCACCGTGGGGACAAGAAGGAACACAGAGCGACGAGTAACTAGTCCCAGGAACAGAGCGTCACTTCTGTGAAAATCCCCTCTGGTCTTTACTGATGCTAGCCACCATAAAAGCTTCTCTGGATTGGTTGCCAACCCTGCAAAGGAAGTGTGAAACACGGAGACATATTACCAACCACTGGCCAGAGTCCACCACACCTGCCAAGAAGAGAAGGTGCTTTCACAAACAGCACTAGAGAGACAAAGGTGCTACCAGGGAGGCCGGCAGCGTGCGCGTCTTCGATGAGGGACTGTGGGACTACGGGCATCGGCTTGATGCCATCTCCTTCAAGAGCTGACCAGGTGGTCCCAATGTCTGCTCAGAAACAGGGAAACACTGATGCTCATAAGACACTCTGGCTGCACACACAAATCCATATAATAAAAGAATTAGCGTGGTGAGTTACATAAGCACGCCTTTCTGCTCGGGCTCATGCTCTTCAAAATGAAGGCCAGAGGTCACACGTGAGCGCTGAAATGATGCGAGTCCACACCGAGATGCAGTGTAAGTATAAAATACGCAAAGGATTTCCAAGACTTAGTATAAGAATGTTAAACATCTCAGTAATTTTTATTTTTTTATTTTTTATTTTTTATTTTTTTTTTTAAAGATTTTATTTATTTATTTGACAGAGACAGAGAGCGAGAGCAGGAACACAAGCAGTGGGAGTGGGAGAGGGAGAGCAGGCTTCCCGCCGAGCAGGGAGCCCGACGTGGGACTCGATCCCAGGACCGTGGGATCATGACCTGAGCCGAAGGCAGACGCTTAACGACTGAGCCACTCAGGCGCCCCATCTCAGTAATTTTTAGACTGGTTACGTGTTGAAATGATAATATTTTACATATATTGGGTTAAGTAACACGTGTTGTGAAAATTAGTTTCACTTGCTTTTTATTTTTTAATGCAGCTACTGTAAAATTTTAAATTTTATGTACGGCCTGTGTTGTTGGACTGTGCCTGTACAGATGATGTTTCTGAAAGTGAGGGAGGAGAGACAGGACGGTGGCGGGACTAGAATGGTACACACAAGCTGCCCAAACTTTAAGAGGGAAGTGACAGTTCAGGGCTGGAGTGCGGCAGGCCTGGCTTATTCCTTCACCTATCAGCTAAAAATTCCAGGGCAAACCGCTGTGACTTCGCAGCTCCCTATTCTGTGTATAACAGGGACTAAAAGCAGCACCAAAGGAAGTTCTGAGGTTACCTAGGTGAGAGCTGCAGCTGCTGGAAATAGGACTGAACAGGAATCCCCTCCATCACCTCTGATTGCAACTCACTACTTCTCAACTCAGCCACCCCAGCCAGAGCTCAAGGGCAATCTGAGTCACAGTTAGAAAAATATGTTCCTTAAACCGCTCACTCTTACCAGAAAAATGAGGACTCCCTCAAGTATCCGGCATCCAGCCTGCCACAGGGGCAGCAATTAGGCAGGTGTATCCCGAAACTCAGCAAAAGGATCTCTTATTAAACCGTTCAGATTTATCCTTATGGAGCATCTCATTCCCTACACGGGTCAGATTTCTTTATCTATAAAAATTTCTGCAAGGGGAGCGCCTGGGTGGCTCAGTCGGTTAAACATCTGCCTTCGGCTCAGGTCACAATCCCAGGGCCCTGGGATGGAGCCTGCTTCTCCCCCTGCCTCTGCTTGTGTGAGCGCTCTCTTTCTCTGCCAAAAAAAATAGATAAAATCTTAAAAAAAAAAAAATTTCTGCGGGGCACCTGGCTGGCTTAATCTGTAAAGCGTGTGCCTCTTGATCTTGGGGCTGTAAATTCAAGCCCCATGTTGGGTGGAGACATCAGTTAAAAATAAAAGCTTAAAAAAAAAAATTCTTGCAACGAACTGAAATGTAAGAAACTTATTTTTTAAAAAGCAAGCACAAGTTCTTTGATTTGAAGAAATATAAGAAACTTTCCTAAAGGGAATTATCGAAGTGTTCCCACCAACTGAAGAACTGTTGCTGGGCTACAAGCTGATAGCTTGGAGAAATGGAAAACTACTCTAAAGCCTCTGCTGGCTCACCTGGGATGTCTGAACTTGGGCGTGGTGCTGCTGCAGCATGAGGTCAGGTTCTTGGCCGGACTGGGCAGATGCAGGGCAGGACCCTCCGATGCATGAGCTCCTCGGCTCTGCCCCGTGAAATCACCAAAGCTGCAAGTCTGTCGTTCAGAATCTGTGGGGTGAACGGAGCACCACGTGAGGTTGCTCTCTTCCACTATTTCCTCAGCACCACTGCGCGGAACCAGAGCAGGAAGGCTATCTGTCTGGAAGAGTCAGCATTCAGGTTGAAGGAGTACAGGTGGTACTGGATTTAGGGAGTCTGGAGAAGAACTGAACGGACTAGCTACAAGTTATTACAATGTGCGTGATATGAAGACATTGCCCTTGGCTCGGTATCTTAACCTTCAGGCCCATGACAAGCCCAATGAACAAAAATCTTCAGTGATCTCCAGTCTAAATCACTTTCTCGAGTGAGAGGTAATAACCCCCTCACCTCCAACTTCCAGATTTCATAAACCAGTAGAATTTTTTTTTTAAGATAAAAAATTTTTTTAAAGATTTTATTCATTTGAGACACAGAGATACAGAGAGAGAGAGAGCATGAGCAGGGGGAGAGGCAGAGGGAGAAGCAGGCTCCCCACTGAGCCAGGAGCCCAACGTGGGGCTCGATCCCAGGACCCTGGGATCATGACCTGAGCCAAAGGCAGACGCTTAACCATCTGAGCCACCCAGGTGCCCCTAAATTTCGAAAAAAGAAAAAAGAAAATCGAAGAAGCAGTAAGAATTGCCACATTTTCACTTTCCTAAGTGCAGATTTTCTTTACCATCCACCATCACTATGATTACATAAAATTAAAATACTTGGGGCGCCTGGGTGGCTCAGTCGTTAAGCGTCCGCCTTCGGCTCAGGTCATGATTCCAGGTCCTGGGATCGAGCCCTGCGTCGGGCTCCCTGCTCCGCAGGAAGCCTGCTTCTCCCTCTCCCTCTCCCCCTGCTTGTGTTCCCTCTCTCACTGTGTCTCTCTCTGTCAAATAAGTAAATAAAATCTTAAAAAAAAAAAAATACTTAAAAATTTTTTGCTGTGAAAACGTTCAAATATATACAATGTGGTGGCAACAATACAGGGACCACATATTCCCTTTATTCAGCATCAATAATTACTATGTAGGCCCACTCCTGATTCCTCTCCTGTCCCCACATTATTGACAGCAAATTTCAGATGCATCATTCCTCATATCCATAAATAAAACCATACCAATGCCAAAATAAAGGGTGAGCATAATGAATATGCTCTCAGAATAAAATCCAATCTGTAAAGTGAAGATTCCAATATCCCTGTCTTAATCGAAACTCATACCTTACTGTGGACAGGTGAGGACATAGATGGACATGGGTCCAAGGGCAAATGTTCGGGAACCAAACAAGAGGATAAACAGAACTTGGGAGATAAGAACCCAATTTATTTTGAGAGAAGTAATTTAAAGAACATCTATCCCACAGCCCACTCCTCAATGTGAAAGTCAGAGACTTTGAACAATTTTTCAAGTTCTAACAAAGATCAACCTCTGTCACTAATTCCACCCAAAACATATTCAACAATGACCAAAAAATCATCTCTCTCTGAGGTGTAGGAACCCGGAGAAAAATGTCTTTGTAATCATCAGCAAGCCCACGTCTGTACATAACTGACAACATGCTCTTCAGAACTCGGGAAGGATGCTCCCTCCACTCCACGGTCCAGGAACAGCTCAGGCTTCTCCAGGCATATCTCTCCCAACAAGAGTAGGCAAATATAGCATCTGCAGAACACCCTTCAAGCATATTCTCTCTCCCTCCTCCCTCTAAATGCACTTTTCCAGGATGAAATGCACTCAAGACTCACAGGGTCAACCACGTGCTGGTGGGGGAGGAGCCCCAGATGGACAGAGCCCAGGCCTCCCTGGGGCACTTTCACAGGGGGCCTCCAGGCTCTTCTGCAGAGCCTGCAGAACACCAGGCTCCAGCCAGTAAAGAGTAAGCAGAGCCTCCCTCTCCTTGGAGGCCTGATTCTAGGCATCTCTTACAGAAAGCAGGATGGCCACGATGCTTTCCTCTCTCACCTCTCTGGGTTTTAGAATGCTACTCCGTCCAGCTCCTAGTACCCCAGGGGAGACAACACTACCGACTAAAATAAGGGTATTTTCAAACCCCACATCTTGTCCCCACCCACTCACATTCACCGTGACCATGACCCTGGAGAAGGTTACCTTCTCCAGGGTTAAGTCTTTCCCACACTTATTACTAAAAGGGGGGAAAAAAGAAAAAAAAAATTTTCAGCACTGCTGCCAAACAGAACAGATTTTGACTTAAGCTATTCCAGAGAAAGTCTGGGTCCTGCATTAGTGATGCTTCTCTGGTAACAACTGTGCCCAAGACCGACACAGACCGTTGCCTCCCTCGACTCCCTGGGGCTCCTGGCTGGGGCAGCTCTCTCATCCACCACCAGTCCGGGTTCCCCGGGAACAGCAAAGAGCATACCTCCCGGACCCTCTCTGTGGACCCCCTAAGCCCCCCGCGGACTGCGCAGCCCCAGACCTTCCCTGCGGATCCTGGAGCCCCTGCGGACCGCGCGGCCCTGGCCCTCCCCGTGGACCCCCGAGCCCTTCGCGGACCGTGCGCCCCTGGCCCTCCCCGTGGACCCCCGGGCCCTTCGCGGACCGTGCGCCCCTGGCCCTCCCCGTGGACCCCCGAGCCCCTCGCGGACCGTGCGCCCCTGGCCTTCCCCGTGGACTCCCGAGCCCCTCGGGGACCGTGCGCCCCTGGCCTTCCCCGTGGACTCCCGAGCCCCTCGCGGACCGTGCGCCCCTGGCCTTCCCCGTGGACTCCCGAGCCCCTCGCGGACCGTGCGCCCCTGGCCTTCCCCGTGGACTCCCGAGCCCCTCGGGGACCGTGCGCCCCTGGCCTTCCCCGTGGACTCCCGAGCCCCTCGGGGACCGTGCGCCCCTGGCCCTCCCCGTGGACCCCCGGCCCCTCACAGACAGCGTAGCCCCGAACTCCTCGTTAACGAAGTAGCCCTGGGCCCTCCCCCCCGGTCCCTGAGCCCCTCGCGGCCGCGCGCCCACGTCTCCCCCGGTGCGCCCCCCTGCAGGCCGCACCTTCCCGCGCCCCAGGCCCAGCGGAAGCCCTCCAACCCGGCCGGACGCGCAGCCTTCCCTCGGCCTGCGCGCCGCCGAGACCCGGCCCCAGCCTACCCGGCCCTCGGCGGGCCCAGCTGCAGGCCCGCGGCGCTGGCGTCTACTCGGCCCGGGCCCTGCACACGCACCATCCGGGCCTCGGGCGACTCACACACGTGTCACGGCGACGCTTAAAGGCGCCGCAACTCGCGGCCCGCGCTGTCGGACTCGAAAGGTCGTGGCGGCTTTAAGAGACGGGGCTAGCTGCGCCCTCGCTCCCTAGGCCCGCCCACAGCCGTTCTACGCAGCCTATACGTCACTCCTCCGCCCCGCGGCCCCGCCAGCCTACGCGATGACGCAAGCACGCAGAGCCGGAGACGCCCCGCCCCCTTGGCCGGAGTCTGCGTGTTCCGGGAGAGCACGTGAGGCGTCCGCTTCCGGGTCCCTAGCGCGGGTGTGCACCTGGCGCAGCCCGGTACCCCGGGCCCCTTGCACGCCCCGCGTCCAACCGGTGGAGCGGGGCCTCGGCCTCACTCTCCGGGGCCCTTTAGTGACCAAGACATGGATGGGGAGCGCTGAGGGCAGCAGGGGAGGCCAAGCAAAGAGCTGTTGGGATGAAGGGTGGGAGAGTGGGGGGAGTGGTGGCGTTTGACCTTCGAGATGTCCGGGGTGCGGGGGCGCTTGCCATTCCCTGGCCCCCTTCCTGACCTCCAAAAGCATTACCCCATGACGACGAAGTTGAGCTTTTGGTGGAATGCTTGCAAATACGCACTGCTTCTGCAGTATTTTTTTTTTTTTAATCCTTTTCACCTGAAATCATTCCTTCGCATTCTCCTGGGCAGGGGGAGAGGGAGCGGCTCCTAGCCTGACGCCCGCGGCCCTCTCACGGAGGCAGAGGGTGGGAATAAATGACTTTTCCCCCAACCCACAACCTGTGCACACAACACTATCAGCCAGGCCTTTCCTGGCAGGGAGGTCTGGAGTGGGCTGGGTGAGCTCCTGGGTGAACCACCTAGAGCAAGTCTCTGGTGCCCACCCCACACGGTCCTTGCAGCAGGGAATGGAGATGGAGAGTGACAAGAGGTGTAACTGGGACAACATTCACCCTGGAGTTACTAGGTGGGTGGGTGCTGATGTCTTGAAAAAGCAAACAGGAACAATACTGTAGGAGGCTGAGACCGAGCCTGTGAGAATCCTCAAGAGCTTCAGATGGAGATTTTTTCCTGGTGTGAGCCTTCTATGCCCTAAAACAATGATTCAAACAAAAGGAAGGCCTCATGCCTGATACTGTGTATCAGAGAATGATTAAAAGTGTGGGGGCAGCTGGCTGGGGAATGAGGAGACTTGGGTTTTATCCCAAAGCTGCCCTCATTAACAGGTTGCTTTGGACAGTTAACTAACCTAGACCTCCCTTTACTCATCTGTGGAACAAAGGTGATCCCCAGCTGGTCTTAACAAAACTGAAGACATTTGCTGAGCTGATATTATGTGTCACATACCTAGGTGGCTGCTTTGTCAACATTATATGCTTTAATCCTCATGACAAGCCTACAAAAAGATGCTCTTCCCATTTTACAGATGAAAAAACTGAGTGTGCACCATCCCTGCAAGCAAGCAGTGATGTGAGGGTTTCAACCAGGTTTGTCAGGCTCCAAGTTCACACCCATAGCTCAGGCCCTCAGAGGAACCCCAAAATTCTGATGAGATGACAGATGAATTGCCTGAAAGGCCTCCATCCTGCTTGAGAATGTAATCTGAGACCTAAAATTTGGGAGGAGCCTTTGGCCCCCCATACTCCCACCCTAACTCCCCCTTCCGAGTCTCTCAAAGAAGCCTCAGTGGAATCTCCTTGAGGTATGTTCACATGGGCCTTTCCTAAAGTGCTCAATCTCAGCGGTTACCAGAGAAATGCAAATTAAAGCCACACCGAGGGACATTTCACACCCACTAGAACAGCTAAAATTAAAAAGACTACATGTTGGAGAGAACGTGAATCAAGTAGACTCTGAGGCTGGGAGTATAAATGATGCAAGCATTTTGGAAAGAAAATTTCAATGTTTCTTTGAAGTAACAGACACCTACCCCATGACCGCATCCATGGCTGTGGCTATCACCACTCTAACTATGCCTGTAGTCCAATAAATTGCATGTGTGCAGATGCCGACCTCTCTCCCCCTGATCTTTGGATTGGTAGGTCCAGGAAGTGCCTGCTGGTCATCTCCCTGCAGGATCCATAAGCACTTCAAACTCACCATGCCCAGAAACGGGTGCACCCCCCACCCCCCACCTCCCCTCAGCTGCCTCTCTTTTTCTACCTTGTTGCCCACTTGGGCTGCTGTGCTGGAGCTCAGACCAAATCCTGGCCCTTTCCTGCTTTCCAGGCACCCTGGTGTCCAGGAGTATCTAGCCACTGGGGGTCACTGGCGAGACTGGAGGGCGAAGGAAAGGGGAAGCCAGGAACTTTCTCTCCCTCCCTCTCTGCTTGGAACGGAGTTTCTGGCTCCATCCAGAGAGGTGCACTGTGGTTCCAGCCTCCCACCTCCCCAAACCATTCCCTCCCTGGGCTCTTGTAGGGCAGCCTCCTGTCTCTGCCCCTCCGTCCTAGAAGTGCTAACAGCTGCCCGTTGTTCTCTAGTTGGCTTCCATCACCATGTAACCAGTGCCTGCGTTAATCCCCTCTGTTTCAAAGACTGTACAGAGTGGCTTTGGTGTTCCTGATTGGACCCAGGTTGATACAACCCCAACATCCACCTTACTGGTCAGCATCCTGGTCTCCTCTATTTCCCTCACCCCATGTAAATCATCCATCAACAAATTTTGCTAATTTTACTTCTCAAATATTCTTCAAACCACTCTCTTCCCTCCATCTAATTGCCCAAATAGAGCGCCTCTCCATCTTAACCTGCATTACTGGAATGGCCAAATCTAACACTTGAACTGCCAAATAGAATAATATGTTTAGAAGGTCTACCTGAAAATACTGTGCACCTGTCTGAACCCTTCCCAGTCCCCCGAAGCTGATGGGAAAGTCAAGCTCTCCTTAGAATGGTCTCTAATGGCCCCTGGAGGCTGGCTCCTTGACGGCTTTTTCTTCTTCATTCCCCAGCCATTCCCTGCCCTGGGTCCCTTAGCTAAATCCAAATGCCCCCTAGGCCCTAATCAGGTTTTCCCTGTTCCAGGCTCATGCTGGTCTTTGACCTAAATTCCCTTTCCCACTTGCTCTTCTACAACCTCCTCAGGCACTACCTCCTCCAGGAAGTCTTCCTGGATTTCCTCCACCCCTGCCATTAGGTTGGTGTTGCCTTGGGCCAGCTGCACATTCCACTTACACATTCAATTGGAATGTTCTCTGGACTTCTCCCTCCCCTGTGACGACTGGTAAAGCTCTCACAATGTCTCACTCATCTGAGGGCTTTGGCAGGTACACTGTGCATAAATGTCTATGAAACACAACCAAACAGAAAATGAAATGCTCAAGATGAGACAACTGAATAATCTTTGAATCCTGAAGGAGAAAAGTAGAGAAACACTGAAGATAAAAGAATAGTCTCAAAAAAAAAAAAAAATCTGTAACCAAAATGAATTAAATGAGAATTTACCTTAAGAAATAATGTACATTAACAGATTAACAGTATTGTTGCCCAGAAGTCACCTGTGGCTGGCCAAAGATACGTGCTAATTTCTGGAGAGACCTAACTCACATCTCTAAGTGTAAATTAATAATTCTGACTTTTATATCAGTTGTTCTGAGTTTGGTTCCTGTGAGTTGTTCCAGCTGGGCTTACACAACCCTAACAATTTCCCCTTTTCTAGATACTGCCAAATGAAGGTCCTTACCCTCCTCTGGCTGTGCTCACCAAGGAAAAGCCACGTGACAGATTCCCAGAGCCGTTCTAGACCATCTCTCCTTGGACTACAGATGGCCTGCAATGGAATTTGGCCCATACAGATCTTATTTTTTCATGAATGTGTTTGGTGGTTTGGCCAAAAAGTAGCCAACAGGCCTTAAATTCCTGTGCTGGCCACTGGGCTGCCTCCTCCTTCCCTCCCAGGGCAGTTTTCTCTCTGAAAAACAAACGAAGCCAGCATAAATGCAGAGGTGTGTATTTTCTCTGTGTGCACGTGAGTAGCTGTCCCCAGCTGCTGACACCGAAATCCTGCTTGAACCTTTACTGAGGCCATTCCTATCCCACTGTCCTCGCAAGACCTACCCCTCCTTGCCACAAACCCACCTCCCTCCCCCCAAATTCACCCCCCCCCCCCCCCGCCGCCTCTCACTTCATTCTTTCCGGTTTCATTCCCTTCCTCAAGACCCCCTGGTTGTTCTCTGAAACATAATGTTACTTTGCACAGAGCTGTTACTGTTCTTTTTGAAGCAAGACATGTAACCGTGTTTGGCCTCAGGGCTGGTTAATATACATTCTTCAAGAGTGTTCAAGACCTTCTCTTAAATCCCGTGAGCACCACCTTGCATTGGACGCTCC